ACAAGAAATACGGAAAACCGGGAAAAAACGAACAAAAAAACCAAAAACCACTAAAACAAAGGAAATGCACGAAACGACTCGAAACGGACCAAAAACCAAAGAATAATACCTACGTAGGGGAAAAACAAGCATGAAATAAAGAAGAAAAACATGACAAAAGTGGAACGAACAACTCCCCCACACTAAAACCTTTGTTCGTCCCGAACAAAAAGAAAAGAAAAGGAAAGAAAAACAAACAAACGAGCAAGGACAACGATTCAAGCAAGACTAATCTCAAATCAATCAATTAAGCCAAGAAGAATTCAAATGATCACAAGCACACACCTCAACTATTAGCTTGGCCATTGTGAATAACATCAACTCTCGAGTACAGAAGTGTATCATTTATGCCTCACTCAATTTCTTTCTCAGATATCACTGGGTACACTCAAATTGGTCAACAATCGAATCAATCGTAAATTTGCCTATCGTCTAACTCCTACTATAAAACAATCAAATTCGTGAAACAATGAATCAAGAGGACTTTAAGGGTTGTAACGTAGGCTCTTTGGACCGGATAGGATAAATATAGGCTAACTGGCTAAATAAAAATCAACTCAACTCAATCAGATAATCGGTTCCTCCCACTACTCCAAGTGAACCTACTACCCACTTATTCAACATTTCCATTATTTTTTATACATTTTTTTTTTTTTTTTTTTTTTTTTTTTGCGATTTGTAGAATTGATTTGGTGGGATTTAACAGTGACCCGCAACTTCTCCTCCGGCACGCAGATCTGGAGATTATCTAGGGATTCCTAACTCCTTGCTTGGAAACCGTGAGGAGTTATGGGAGATTAAGGCGTGATTTATGGAGCTGCAACTGCTAAATAATTTGGGCGGATCTCTTGGTGTTTGGGGAGAGATATAGAGAACCTAATTTATGGGGATAAATAAGGGAGGTACGGATTTTTAGGAAGACGTTTGAACAGATTTCAACTGCAACTCCGTGAACAGATTTTCAGCCACAATATAAGGAATCAAAATTTCAAACTGCACGGTTTTTAAAAGATTGCCATATTCAGTAAGTCAACTTCATTTGATTTATTGACCTCTCTTTTTCAATATATATAGATATAGATATAGATATAGATAGATAGATAGATCGATAGATATATAGATATAGATTATTATTATTTTTATTTTTTGGAAGGAGAATTCATTCTTGTAACAAGGGTAAAGAGGCCGCGAAGTTGCACATACGCAGCTCGACATGACTACAAAGAGAAACGACGCACTTACGGCACAAAACATGACACAATNAAAAAAAAAAAAAAACCGAGAGAAACAAAGTGATAACAGTTGCCCTCACATAGCAGACGGGCTCAAATCACAACCTTGTAAAGCTAGTTAGCTAGCCACATGTGGTTTTCTGAAAGGTAATAGTCTTTTGAGTGTGATCGACCCCCACCCAAAAGTCGGTCTGCGCCAGGTTGCCGTAAATAGGTCCTCCATTTGTCGGGAGAACCGTGAGGCACATCTTAGGTGGTAACCTTATGAAAAGATTTTTGTAGTCCAAATTTACCGCTTTCCCGCCCATGTTGACTGCGGCACTTGAAAAATTTTTGCTCAAGTCCACGGTGTCGTGAAGCACAAATCTAGTGGGGGGTTTGCCGCCGCTGGTATGGGCATGAGCCTTGCAGTGGTCTGTGCCCAATTCACCACGGCCTGCCTTAGTTTGTTGTACAGATTTTCCGGAAGATTTGTCACGGTGGTCCCTGAGTCCACGATCATGTCGACCGGACGTGCCACATGGAATGTGGCACGCCCGAAGCTGAACCCTTGGAGCTCCACTATGTAGAAGGTCGAAGTTCTGGGCGTTGACTGCAGAGGTACCGTCACGGTGTCGCGGCCCATGACGGAGCCGCCGAAGGTCATCTCACGTTTGTAATTATTGTCCCACACTGAGGAGAGACAGTAGGAGAATTTCCCCTGGCCCAGCTGTTGCACGAGCGACGCTTGGCCACCCCCCACGCCAACGATGCCAATCTTGTTAGTGCCCGTATAATCGCATCCGAAGACAATGTTATTCTGCCTGATGCCGCCAAGCGTGAAGGTGCCCTCAAAGAGGTTGCCCTCGGCCGAAGTCCGGCTCGCATATTTCATTTTGAAGTGGCTACTGTTTACTGGTTTAGTCCTAGAGCAGTTGGTGGCCGGCAGTATGGTGCATGGTTTAGTGCGGCACTGGATTGGGGTCGAAGACGGGTGAGCTCTGCTTCCGCATGGGGTCCAGATGAGGTCACTTCCGGTGTCGACATAGCCTGTGGTAGAGAATGAGTCGATTGCGAATTGGAAGAGATAGTCGCCGTTACTGTTCTCGATTGGGGCTAGCTGGGCCTGGGCCTGGGCCTGGGCGGCCCGATCAAGGGATCTTTGGACTGCGTTGGCTAGACGTTGAGTGGGGGAGAGGGAAGGGTCGTAGAGAGGGGATAAAACGGAGTCCCTGTGAATTAGAGTCACCGTAATATTACTATTATTACTGTTTTGGCCAAGAGTACTCATGCTCACGCTCATGAAGAGGAGGGAGAACATCAAAGATACTATTATGAGATTAGTAGTATTCATGATGCTTCCACCTCTCAAATATATGTAACTACAATGTATATAATTAATTACGTATATATGTTGTTCTGTTTATTAATTCATGAATATGTTGCTGTTTATATAGGCCCAACACTGCTCAACTGTTTATTGGCCTGACTCGTGAATAGTTTTATAACCTTCTGCTCAGGCGTGATAGTGGAAGATTTTTAGTCCATATAATTTCTACTCTACTTTTCATTTTTTGAAAAACTCCACTTTCGCGTGTAATCTTTATTTAATTGTTTTCTAAATAAACCGATATTTTTATTGATATTTGTGGATTTAAGAAAACTTTTTGACCAGTTATTAAACAAAACCACCAACTTAAAAATTTGGACAATTTCAACCACTGAGCTAAAAAATAGTCTGGAAATTAAGGGTGTGGTTGAATATTGATTTGATTGGTTTTTAATTGGTTTTAATGTTAATTATATTTAATTTTAAAAAATGTGGTATATTTCGTTGTTAGTGAGAATTTAAGTTTAAATTAAAATAATATTTAAAATAAAATAATTAAAACTAATTTGATGTAAAGTAGGAGAAAAATGATTAAATGGTTAGTTAAAATTATTTTTGTGAGTTGATGAATAGTGAATTAAAGTTGATATGATATGTAAGAATGATTAATTGATATTTTTTTTAATTATATTAATAATATTAAGGATATTGGAGTTGAGTTCAAGTTGAATTATATTTAAGTTAAACAGGGTGAACAAATAGTTAGTGTCAGCTTCAAATACGAGAAACTCATTAACTTCTGCCATTATTGTGGATTGGTAGGTCATTTAGATAGAGGATGCTCAAAACGTATGGAGGACATAAGAAATAAATCATTAAAGGAAGGCCAATATGGCGACTGGGTGAAGGCTGTTGATGGGCAACACTGGGCTGGATTGAGTAATTTCTGGCACTAAGGGTTCACCCTCAGATAACCCTATTCCACCACCAGAGCAAGAATCACCCTTGAAAACCTCAACTTGTCATGTAGAGGATAACAACCAGTTGGTCATGATTCAAGAATACAAAGATCCACAGATACACAGATCCCTAACCCGTCTAGTTCAACTGAGGGAGGAATATGTAAACAGCATGGGTCTCATCCTAGGATGCAACCTTCGAGCACTACTCATTTGATACTCTCTAAAGCAGTTAAAGACAGGTACCCCACTGAACTTATCAACAACAAGGAATTGGAAGTTTCTAAATCCAGGACCTCCCCACATCAGTTCAACATTAGCAAAGGAGATATTCTAATGACACCACAGCCTCTTACCAGAACATGGAAAAGGGTAGGGACTAAAGAGGGCAGACTTCAGAGACAAAATGATGGCATTGTTATAAGAGATTCTCCTGCTCCTGGGAAAAGGCACAGACCTGAAACAGGGGATTATACTGATGATAACAAAGGTAAATCAATTGTCCTAGCTGAAATAAGAAATTGAAAGCTTCTTCTGATAAGGTGGGGGTGGTCAGCCATTGGCACCCAAGTGACAAATGTTAGCTGCGGTGTGGAACTGTAGAGAGCTGGGTGAGCCCTCTACAGTTTTCCAAATCAGAGAGTCAATCAAAACTCACCACCCAACTTTCATCTTTTTGTCAGAAACAAAAAAAAAAAAATCATCTATGTTTGTGAACTCTGTGGTTAGAAAACTGGGATTTGCAGGTAGATATATTTTGGTGGACCCTACAGGCACTAGTGGTGGCCTCTTACTTATGTGGAACTCAGATGTAAATATTTTGCAAAGCTATTCTAAGGGTCATTATATTGCAGTTGAATTTTCTATTCAGAATGGTGCCCCTTCTTGGGGTGTTTTTGTTTATCTAAGTACCTGTCCTAACACCAGAACTGAACAATAGAGGAGTCTTGAAACAGATAAATGCTCTTTGGGTAACAAGTGGTTTATTATTGGTGATTTTAATGATATCTATTGTAATGATGAGAAACTGGGAGGTACTCAAATAAGTGACAGAAGATTGGCAGGTTTCAAGAAGTACTCCATCAACAATATGTCCATGGAAGAGATTAGGATGATTGGATACCAATTCACTTAGTGCAACAATAGATCAAATGAAGAACTCATTGATGAGAAGTTAGATAGAGGATTTGGCTCTGCTAATTGGTTTGCTACATTCCCAAATGCCTCTATCTATAATTTAATGAAAGTGCATCAGATCAAAGGTGGTCGAAAAATAGAGACAGAACCAGCCAGATGATCGAGATGTTGACAAATCAAAGAGGCGAGTGCAGATTCACTCTTAGATCGAGTCATTCAGACTCGACCAGAGTGGGAGGGACTAGATGATATAGGATTTTATATATCTAAGGAATAGACCGATTCACTAGACCGGTCATACAAGCCCAATGTCGGAAATACCACGTTGGTCGAGCGATAGCAGACGTAAAGGAAGTGGTCGAATAGCGTAGCAGATCTGGTTGATCGTCGACCTACTATAAAGAGCTCATCCGATCAGCCACCGAGCGAGTGAAGAGCAATCGAGAGCGTGATGCGGACGCGAAGAAGCGCGTGGTCTTCTTCAGGAATTCCCAAAGAATATTCAGGGGAATAATTACCCTCTGCCCAGAGGGGCACGTGGCGAGGATACATTGATGCAGAGCGATAGTTGCGATAACTACCTCTGACATCCACACACTGTGTGTACGGACGGGCAGATCCGAGCAGCATTGGGCAGACAGCTCACCAAATCCGGGCAGCTCTTAGGGCAGGTATCTCACTCCTATATATATAAGAGTGAGCCTTTCTTGTTACTTACGATTTATTAATTTTTACTCTTGAGAATTGAGTGAAACACATACCGACTTAAGCATCGGAGGCTCTTCACCGGAAAAACCCCCCGGTGTGAGAGTTTTTTGCAGGTATGCGCCGTTCTACCGGCGAGGGGAAGGAAGACGAGCTGATTTCAAGCCGGTCGAAGTGTTTTGCGTTACCAGAACCAAACACCGATTCCACTTTGACAAAAGATGGCTGCTCAAACCAGACATAACTGAAGTTGTTGCATCTGCTTAAAATTCTGTTCACTCAGGCACTCCCTTCTTCCAATTAAAAGAGAAAATCAAGAGCACCAGGAAGGCTCTTCTTTTATGGAGCTCTAAATTCAAATCTCAAAATCAATCCAAAATAGAGCACTTGACAGCAAAGCTGGAAACTTTGAGAACCAGTAACATGGCGGATCACTGGGATTCTTGGGTAGCTACTAGAGCAGAGTTGGAAAAAACACACAAGCAAAAAAGGCTTTTTGGCAGCAAAAAGCCAAAGTTCAATGGCTCAGAGATGGAGATGGTAATACCAAGTTCTTCCATGCTTATGTGATGATGAGAAGGAGGAAAAATGCCATCTGTAGATTGGTTACTGACCAGAACAGAGAATGTACAACTCAAAAAGAGATCCAAAACCATGTTGTTGAATTCTACTTAGCTTTTTTCTCCTCTGAAGGTGCTTGGGGAGGGGATTCCATCATCCACCTTATCCCTCAATCCATCACCTCAAGTATGAACCAGGACTTGCTCAAACCTGTGAATGAAGATGAAATTAAAGAAGCACTATTATGCCTAAGCCCATATAAGGCCCCCAGTGAGGACGGTATGACAACTTTATTTTTTCAAAAATTATGGTACCTCATTAAATCTGACTTCACTACTGCAATTGCTAGTTTCTCCAGTAATGGCATGCTTCTTAAATATTGGAACCACACTATTGTCTCCCTTGTGCCTAAGCAGCTGAACTCAGAAATGCTCTCTCAATTTAGGCCAATCAGTTTGTGTACAGTTGTATATAAAACTCTCTCAAAATCCTTGCTATGAGGTTGAAAACCTGTTTGACTGCTTGTATTAGTGACTTCCAGTCTGCTTTCATCAAGGGGAGACAGTTACTAGATAAAGTAATCATTGCACAGGAAGCCTTTCATTTCCTAAACAGGCATTCTTTTGGAAAAAAAAAAACTACTTTATGGCTTTAAAATTGGATCTGATGAAAGCCTTTGACCGAGTAGAATGGCTTTGTCTCAAGAAAATCATGATCCAAATGAGGTTTTATCAGGAGTTTGTCCAGCTTATTATAATATGTGTCTCTTCCTGTACTTACTCCTTCAAAGTTAATGGGGCAGTTAGTGGCTTTGTGCATCCTTCAAGAGGAATAAGGGAAGGGTACCTCTTGTCCCCGTACCTTTTTATTATTGTTGCAGAGCTGCTTTCTGCCTTAGTCACAGCTTCCTCAGATTCAGGGCAATGGCAAGGCCTGAAGTTATCCAGAAATGGGCCTTCTCTCTCACACTTATTGTTTGCAGATGACTCCATCTTTTTCGGCAAGGCTAGTGTCGATCAAGTTGCAACTCTTCTCACACTTTTGGACAAGTATAGATTGTTTTCTGGACAGAAAGTAAACCTTCAGAAGTCAGCTATCTTTTTCAGTAAAAATACCCCTCAAATCCTCCAAGACAGAATTTGCACCACTCTTCATGGTATCTCCTCTCACAGGTCAACCAGGTATTTGGGATTGCCTTTGGGCATTGGCAAATCAAAGCTTAAGGTTTTCCAATATGTCCTGGATACTACGAAAACAAGAATTGACAACTGGAAATCAAAACTTCTTTCACCTGCTGGAAAAGAAGTACTCATCAAATCAGTTATCCAAGCTCTGCCAGTCTTTTCCATGTCTTGTTCTAGGCTCCCTGCCACTCCCTGCCACTTTGTGTGTTGACATCTCCAAGCTCTGCTCCCAATTCTAGTGGAAAAATGGGGAAGACAACTCACAAGGTATTCATTGGAAATCATGGGCATCTCTCTCATTACCTATGGACAAAGGAGGTCTTGGCTTTCTGGATATCAAGAACTTTAATATTGCTCTCATCTGCAAACAGCTATGGAGAATCTCTTCACAGCCAGATCTTCTTGTTAGCAAGATACTAAAGGATAGATATTATCCCAACTTGTCTCTCTTTGAAGCCACCAAAAACCAAAATTGCTCTAGGCTTTGGTCCAACTGGCTGGATGTGCTGCCAATTTTTGCAAAAGGCTATGCTGTGGAAATCAGAAATGGAGAGTCAACAAGAATTGAAGATGTAACTGGGTCCCAACTTTCTCAAGACCAAAACCTATCTTAATGGAGCTGGCCAGAGGGCACTTAATTTGGGTCAAGGAACTTCTTAATGACTTAGGCACATGATGGAATTCATGTCTTGTTAATCAAGTATTTGATCCAGGAGACAGTAGAGCCATCCTCAATATAAAAACCATAAAGCCAGACAAAGCTGACAGGATCCACTGGAGATTTGATAAAAAAAGGTTTGTTCACAGTTGCTAGCACTTACAAATTTCTCTCAAATAAAAAATTGTTGGCATTGGACATTTCTGGCTGTAGCTCCAACTTAGGTGCCACCAATGTTGGTTTCTCCCGCAGCTGGAATTTACAAATTGCAGGTAAAATCAAACACTTCATTTGGAAGTGCCATGCTGGAACTTTACCTGTGAAAGCTAAACTGTCGAAAAAAGGTCTGGACATTGATGTCACTTGCAAAACCTGTGGTGTTGAACTAGAAACTCTTCAACATGTTCTTTTCTTTTGTACAAAAGCCTGCAGGGTTTGGGACTTAGCACTAGTATCATGGGACAACATGAAGTCCCCCTCCCCATCATTCAGATACTGGTGGACACACATTTGTTCAATGAACAAAACAGAGATTGCCGAAGCTAGAATACAATTGACAACATACATACTTTGGTGGCTCTGGAAATCGCGTAACCTATGGCTTTTCCAAGGACTGCGAATCCTGCAGACCAGCTAGTCAAAATTGCTCACAAGGACTGGTTGGATTTATTGGCTGCTACATGACTTCAGACATTGCATCTTCAGTTTTCTGGTGTCTTTATTTCCTTTCTCCGGTTGTTCAAGTCTTAGTAGGTTAGCTGGTTCTGTTATGTTTATGTATCTATTATGACTCCCCAGGCTTGATTGCAGTGGGGAGTTATATTTGTTTAGTTTGGCTTTGAGATTTTAATTGTTTCTTGAGGTTCTAGGCCGCATTCATGTTTGTCCTTTCAGTCTTTGATTTGGGGTAGTGTGTATTCTATTTGAACATTGTTCCCGTTTCTTTGAGTTAATAGTCACCTCTATCATTTCGGAAAAAAAGTAAAATAAAATAAAATAAAATAAATTTGCTAGTTTGTCCTATTTTGTACATTAAGTTGGCACTTTTAAGTATCCACTAATTTGGTG